AGCTCGCGATGCGCGTGTTCCAGCAGATGAGTGGAAGAAAATTACTTCGTTCAAGTACAGTGGCCCTCGTCGGTGTCCATTTTTCAACTGCTCGTTGGGTTGTCGATTTGGAGATCAGTGCAAAAACAAGCATGTGTGTGTCGAGTGCGGCAAGGAGCACTCGTGGCACAGCAATCACTGAAGCCGGTCGGACTCCCCAGGGGGGTTGCCTCCCCCTCCTGGGGTGTGGACAAAGGAGGCGGATCCTGCGCCAGCTCCACAGCGGTCGGTCGCCGGTTGGCGATCGTGGGATGAAGTGCCTCGGGATCCATTTGCCGTGGCTGCACAGGGTCCATTCTTCGTCGAGCTCTTCTCCGGGACAGCTCGCCTGACTGCCGCAGTTCGGCGGCAAGGAGTTCCGTGCCTCCCACCAATAGATATCACACCCTGTGAGGAGGTCCCAGCTCCCAGAGATGTGGTGGATCTTGAGTTTTGGGACTTCTTCATGAGGCTGGTCAGCTTGGGAGCGATCGCTTTTCTGCATTGTGGAACTCCGTGCAACACATTCTCGGCGGCTCGCAAACTCGACGGAGGTCCACCTCCCATCCGCTCGAAGACCTACCCCTTGGGCTTGCCACAGTTGTCAGATCTGAACCAGGCTTTGGTCTTTTTGGGCAACCTCTTCGTGCTGCGCACAGCAGAAGCGTGCTTGATGGTCTTCTTGTTGGGCGGCGATTTCTCTATCGAGAACCCCTTGTTCAGCTTGATTTGGGACACCCCTCCGATGCTGGATCTGTGGCGTCTTTGTCGAGCTCTCGCCGTTGATTTTGATCAGTGCATGTTCGGGGCGCCCTCACGCAAGCCGACTCGGCTCCTGGTCACTTCTGCCCTCTTTGACGTCCTTGCAGTCCAATGCTCCGGGGCACATCAACATGTTGCTCTACAGGGCCAAGAATGGTGCTCTCGGACGAACACTTGGATCTGGAAGACGAAGAGGGCTCAGGTGTATCCTCACCAGATGTGTGTTCACATGGCTGCTACAGTGTCAGCTTTGGTTCGGCATGATCTATCTCACCTGCAGCCTTCTTTTGATTTGGCTCTGACTGCCTCTGAGCGCAAGCGGCCGCTCGGCCCTGGACTCGATCGCCCAGCTCATCGTCAAGCAAATACTGCGGCCTTGGCCCAATTCGCCGGCTACCAACTCAAGCGGGGTGCGGCCAAGCCGTTGATTCAAGATGAGCTCGAGCCTGGTCAGGCCATCGCATGGGCGATGTCAGTGCCACACCCCTTCACTCAGCCAACAGATCTGCCTTCTGGTTTGGATGCTGCCATTGAGGCTGTCGTCACCAACCCTGCACAGGTCATCAGCGACCGGGTCAGCACCTTGAAGTTATGGGAAGAAGCCGCTCATCGCCTGCTCCCAGTCTCTGATCAGATCTTGCTGGCATTGCCGGATCCGGCGTTGCGCCGCTTGCTGCGTGGTGTTCCCGACGATCAGCCAGCCCAGCTCGGACTGACTTGTCATGTGGAGCTCTACCGTGCCATGCTTGCAGCCTGCCAGTCGGTTGATCAAAGCTTGCCGGACTTTCTGACCTACGGGTTTCCTATCGTCGGTCCGATCGCTCGGACTGGTCGGTGGCCTGACTACACCAGAGCTCAGCCCAATCTCGCGATCGCTGAAGCGTTGACAAGGGCCTGGGAACTCCGAAGGAAGATCGTTAAGAGGGTGCAAGCGGTCCCGGTGTCAGACAACCTGCAAAAGATCTGGGACGCTACCCTCGAAGATGTTCAAGAAGGATCGACCGTAGGACCTTTCAACTCGGAAGAAGAGGTGACGGCCTTCCTCAGGCAAGATGATTGGATCCCCACTCAGAGATTCGAGGTGGTCCAGAAGAATAAGGTCCGCGGCTGCGACAGCGCCACCACAAACATGATCAACCAAGTGACGATCATCTGTGAGAAGCTCCAACTGCCCTCAACTGACATGAACGTTGCTGCTATTCGCAAGTTGAGATCTTCTGCTCCTTGGAAACCGATCGGGGGATGGGTGCTTGACGAGCGCAAAGCGTATCGTCAGGTAGCTATCAGACCTGATCATCGGAAGTTTTCAGTTATTTGCTTGAAGGATCCCTCTTCGGCGATCGCAAAGTTCTTTGTCATGATAGGGCATTCTTTCGGGCTAGTCTCTGCTGTTTATAACTACAATCGGCGTTCGGCTGCTATTAATGAGTTTTTGGTCTCCTTGTTCAAGCTCGTCGCTTTCAGTTTTTACGACGATAAGTACGGGTTTGAACCGGAAGAGACTTTAGCCAGCGCTCGATTGGTTGCAGAGTGTGTTCACACGTGGTTGGGAGCTAGATTTGACGCTAAGAAGCTTCAACTGGGGCGCTCCCCTACAATTCTAGGAGTCACGTATGATCTTGCTCACATGCGACTGCTGATCAAGCCTGACAGGAAACAAGAGCTGCTCGATGAGTTGGATGCCATCCTGAAGACGGGGCTACTCGACCCTGGCTCGGCCGGCAAGCTCAAGGGCAAGCTCATGTTCGGCGCGTCGCAACTTTGGGGTAAGGTCGGACGGGCGTTTCTGCGAGTCATCTCAGAGAGGCAATACCTAAGGTTCCCGCAAACTGATCAGTTTTCCCTGGGTCCGGCTCTGATTGAAGCTCTACGACAGTGGAGAAAACTCATCCAGTCAGGTCCCCCCAGGTTGATCGACCTGCAGGTTCAAAAACCAGCAGACATCGTAATTTTTACGGACGGTTTTACTCCGGATCCTAGAGAACGGGACGTTCGGCCGGATCGGATTGGAGCTGTTTTGTTCGATCGACGTTTGCGGTGCCCTCTGCAATTGACCGCGTTGGTTCCCCAAACTTTAAAGAAGAAGTGGCTCGAACGAGCGACTCAGATCGTACCTGTTGAGATGGTGGCGCCAATCGTTGCCCTGTGGACTTTCGCAGATCGCGTTAAAGGAGCAGATGTGATCCTGCTCATAGATTCAGAGGCAGTCGAAGGCGCCCTGATCAAGGGCTACTCGAGCAAGAGTGACCTTTGTGGACTCGTGTCGATCTTTTGGGATGTCTCGCTCGAGTTCCAAGCTAGAATTTTTATAGATAGGATCTCGACGGATGCCAACCCGGCTGACTGGCCGTCGCGGGGGGATTTGGATCGAGGGTTAGAGGCCGGCTGGATCACAGTCGAACCATCCTGGCCCCCCTCTCTAAGTTCGTAACCTCGTGGTGGCTAGTTCTAGTCGGTTAAGAATCTAGGGCCTGGGTATGTGTGGTCTGAGTCCTGTTGATCAGGTTCTTGTTTGATTTG